AAGTTCTTCCTCTTTATTTCTGATTTTTGCATTCCAGTCACCAATAATTTTTAATGCAACTTAATTGGGTGTTTAGTCAATTTCAGACCAGAAATGTTGGTTGTTCTTGTTATTGTCAGGTGCCATAGAGTTGAGTAGGACTCAAAATATGAGTCTTGTCCTGTTGAGAGATGAAGCTTTGCCATCCTTTACTCCAGGAATCACTCCAGCTGTACCTTTTCCAAGACATAACTGTTCTTTTGGCAGTCAATGGGATATTCAGTACTCTTCTCCAAAACCACAACTCAAAGGCATCAATTCCTCCGTCATACTTAGCCATTGTCCAACTCTCAGATGCATAGCAAGTAGTGGAAAAAAGACCAGGGCCCGAATCAGGCACACCTTTGTCTTCAAACTGACATCATTGCTCCTCAGTGTTTTGGAGGCATCCTTGACAATGGACTTGCCCATCTGCTTATCTCTTGACTGTTGGTACCAAGGATGTTGATTGTGAGTACAGCAAGACAAAACCACTAACCACTTCAACCCTGTCTCCATCTATCAGGATGTTGCCCACTGACCCAGTGGTAAGAACTATTGTTTTCTTGATGTTAAGATGCAATCCATATTTGATGGATTTGATGTCTTTAATCTTCTGTAACAAGCGCTTTAGGTCCCCTCTCACTTTCAGCAGGCAGCGCTGTGTCATCTGTGTAACGCAGGTTGGTTGATGAGTCTTCCTCCATTCCTGATGTTACGTTCTTCTTCATTAATTATTTGCTCAGTATATAGATTGACTAAGTATCCAGAAATGATACACCCTTGATCCACACCTTTCTTGATTTTAAACCATATAGTGTTCTCGTGTTCCATTTAGACAACAGCTTCTTGGTCCAGGTAGAGATTTCATATAAGCATAATTAAGTGATACAAGATTCCCATTTTTCTCAAAGTTAGCCATAGTTTGTGATCCACACAGTCAAATGCCACTGCATAGTCAACAAAACACAAATAGACATTCTTCTGGTATTCTCTACTTTTAGCCAAGATCATCTGACATCAGCAGTGATATCCTTGGTGTCATGACCTATTGATCTATTCTAAACCCAGCTTGAACTTCTGACAATTCTATCAGTGTTCTGGTCCAGGTGTTTTTGGATGATCTTTATTAATATTTTACTCTCATGTGATAATTAATGTTGTTGTTGTTGTTATGTGCCATCAAGTTGCCTGTGACTCATAGCGACCCTAAGTACAACAGCCCTAAACCCTGCTCTATCCTGTGCCAATCTAACTGTCTCCAACACTTACCCCGATTACCCCAGTCACTGAATCAATTTATCTTATCATGGGTCTTCCTCTCCTTTGCTGCCCTGCCACCCTCCCAAGCATGACATCCCTCTCCAAGGACAAGTCCCCCCTTGCAGCATGCCCAGCATCTATCAGATGAAGCTTCAGAAATCCTTGCCTCCAAGGAGCAGCCTGGTTTAACCTTCTCCAGGATGAACCCATTCACTCTCTTAACAGTCTATTCAATTCTTTTCTCTAACACCACAGCTCAAAGGCATCAATGCTCTTTTTATAATCCCTACTTATTGTCTAGCTTTCTGATGCGTAGCAAGTGATTGCAAAGACCATGGACTTTATAAGGCACACTTTAGTCTCCAGACAATACTCAGGAGAGGTCTCAGATTTTCCCAACACATTATGTAATTTAATTTCCTGGCTGCTGATATTGTTCAATAATTTCTACATTCTGTTGGATCACCTTTCTTGGGAAGAACAATATGAATCTCCTCCAGTTAGGCAGGCAGGTGTTCTCCAGATTTCCTCACATAGACTGGTCAGAAGAGTTGTTAGTTGAAAAATGTCAGTTGGATTTTTTTTCTTGTATCTTCAGTGTAGCTTGAACTTCATCCTTTTTTTATCATTGGCTCTTGTTCATATAGCTCTTGCTGAAATTCTTCAGTGTCTACATTTTTTTTTAATTTTTGTATAGTGATTCTCTGTATCCTTATCATCTTCTTTTAATGCTTCTTGGATAATTAAAGATTTTGCCCATGGCATGTTTCTGTATTGCAACTCAAGGCTTGAATTTGCTTTTATTTCTTTCAGATTGAGTAATTTTGAGCAAATTCTTTTTATTCTTTGACTCTAGTTCTTTGAACTTCTCATTACAACACTTTGCTTTGTTTTCTCGATCTGCCCTTTGAAATCTTCTGTTCTGCTTTTTTGATCTTTTGATCATCATCTCTTCCCTTTGTTTTGGCTTCCCAGCACCCTAATACAATTTTCATAGTTTCTCCTGATACCCATTTTGGCTTTTGCTTTCTCCTCTGGTCTTCAACCACTGGTGATTTATGGTAGAAATCCTAAATTTTGTTCATGAATGATGGTAGAAATCTTCAATCTCTTCATCTTTGTTTTTTGTAGTTGGTGCATATATTTAAAAAATGGTTGTATTAACATGATTATCAGCATGAGGAATGCATATATGAATAATGAACAGTGTACCAATAACTTCAGATGATCTTACTGCACTTCAAATAAGTGTCACATAAATAATTCTACAAGTGTTTTCCATAGGAGCCCTGGAAGACAATAGATTAAACCTTGGGATTCTAATGTAATTGTTGACAAAGCTATAAACCACCTTCTGTTAGTGAGATGCAGCTCATTATTTCTGTGAAGATTTATAGCCTTTGAAACCCTATAGAGCATTTCTCCTTTGTCTCTGCTTTTTGAGTCAGAATTCACTTGATGGCAGTATGTTTGGATGTTTTGGTCTCAGTATGTTCCACATGTACCCATAGATGCTCCTGCACTACAGCATTTAGTTTCCAGGCAGAGTCAAGACTTGGAATATTTCACACATGATCCTACTGGTCAGGAACCAGATTTCCTTCTTTTTCTCCAGCATCCTAACTGATACAGTTTGTAATCTTGCAATTTACATTTTTCTCATTGGATAGTGGATGATGATCTCATGTATCTGAATAAATACTGAATAAATAGTTTTTAAATCTTTTGAGAGAGATAGCTTCCCAGATCTTATAAATAACTGCATATAGTTTCTAGTGTTACAATTTGAAAAGTTACTGCATTTAATGATGATCCATTAGGCAGATGAAGAACAAACTCATGCATATATATACTTTGCTCAAATAGTCTTGTTTTTGTTTTTCAAACTTTGAGAAAAGGAGCAAAAAGTGCTTGGGAGACTCATTTTTATGGTAAAATGTTAGGTAACAGAAACGTTTAAAATATAATCTAAGTATTAATACAAGAATTTTTATTTTACAGAAACAGTCAGATACTTGAGAAAGATAATATATTGAATGAATCCTCAAAAACCTCTTTAATTAATTTGCCTGATGAGAAACCTTGTGCTGCACAGATGGAAAAACTGTAGAAATAGCCAGTACTCCAGCTATCGCCATAAAGAATGTGGTAAGACATTTAAGATCTCATCCATTTATAATAGAGAATATGAAAAAACTACTTGAATTATATTATCACACAATTCCTAGCGTTCATCTGCATTTTCTGCTTGTTTTAATACTTCAGTATTTTAATAGAAATTTTTAAAATGTGTTAAGAGTAAGTGCTTACTTTTAGTAATTAATAAATAGATATCTTTTTAGTCTGTTCTAGAAGAGTGTAGAGTTTCTGGTAAGGAGCAGCGAAACCCTGCCCATGAAAAAAGAATTCTTCCAGCTTGGATGTTAGTAGAAAATGTGAATAATGAAGACCTTTCAGCAGCAATCATCCCAGGAGGTAAGTTTTGTTTCTGCTAAGAGCTCAATAAACTACTAGAGAGATTTTCAAGGTTTTCTGAACAAATGATAATTTCAAATAGTGATTGAGTAACTGTGTACTTGAGACTAAATTTTTTTAGATTTGTATATGAAATTACCTCATGAAGTCCAGCCTTTTGAGTGATCTTTTCTGCATATAGATTGAAAAGCTATGGAGATAGAATGCATCCCTTACATATACCTTTTCTGATCCTGAACCATGCATGCAGTGTTTCCTGTTCTGTTGACTATTATTTCCTGTTTCAAGTATAGGTTTCACATGAGCAAAAATTGAGTATTCTGGATTTCCCATTTTTCTCAAGGTTAGCCACAATTTGTTGTGATTCAAAAAGTCAAATGCATTTGCGTAGTGAGTGAAACACAGATCATTCGGGAGGCTAGACTTAATGAGGAGGAATGTGGCATCAGGATTGGAGGAAGACTCATCAACAATTTGCGTTATGCAGATAATACAGATAATATAGCCTTGCATGCTGCAACTGAAGAGAACATGAGGCATTTGCTACAGAAGGTCAAGAACTATAGTCTTTGATACGGATTGAAAGCTCAAAATCAAGAGAGATTCTCACCACTGGGCCAATTGTCATCTTCATGATAGTCAGAGAAGAGATTGAGATTTTTGGTAATTTTACTTGCCTGGTTCCACAAGCAATCCCCTTGTGCACCAGCAGTCAGGCAATTAAAACACGAATTGCACTTGCAAAGTTTGCTGTCACAGACCTCTGTAGAGTACTGAAGAGCAACAGTCTGGAGACTGAGGTGTGCCCGATTCAGGCCATGGTGTTTGCAATTACTTGCTGTGCATCAGAGTTGGACAGTAACTAAGAATGATAGAAGAGAGATTGATGTCTTTGACTTGTGGTGCTGGAAAACAGTGTTGTACATACCGTGGACTGCTAGGAGAGCAACCAGGTCAGCCTTGGAGAGGTTGAAACCAGGCTACTCTTTGGAGGCAAGGATTTTGAGGCTGTGTCTCACATACTTGGCCAGGAGGAACCAGTCCTTGGAGAGGGACATCATGCTTGGAAGGATGGAGGAACAGCTCAGGAGAGGAAGACCAAGGATGAGAT